GTCTCCATCTCGGCTAAGTCTCTCTTCTCTTTCTTGTGAAGAGTCTGTTTGGTTAAGGCGTCGAGTCTGGTGTTGATGAATTCTTCATCTTTCAAGCACAATTCATTCAAGATGATTTCCATGTCTCTGATCGGGTTGATTTCCCCTTCAACGTGAACGATCTCTTCATCTTCAAAGACACGAACGACTTGATAAATACCATCGACGGCTTTGATGTGTGAAAGGAAGGCATTTCCAAGACCTTCACCCTCAGAAGCACCTTTGACTAACCCGGCAATATCTGTCACTTGAAGAGCAGCAGCCACTTTTGAAAGTGGTTTGAATTGATCACACAAGTACTCAAACCGAACATCGGGAATGGCTACTTGCGCATTATTTGGATCAATAGTACAGAACGGGAAATTTTGCGCAGCAACTTGGCACTTGGTGAGCGCATTGAATAACGTCGACTTACCAACATTGGGAAGGCCAACTATACCCATTCGCAAGTGATTCGTTAAACGTCCTAAGTACACTTTCTCGGGTGCTTCACCTTTCTTCGACATCGACTGATTATTTGTCGTACATAAAAAACTTTTAAAGAGGAAGTGGTCCGATGTGGCAGCACGTAAATAACTACGTCACAACTAGTTTTCTAATGAGTAGTTGTTATAGTTTTTTTATTGGTTATTTTACTATTTTGAAAACGACTAGGTTTTTTGTACCAAACTGCATTGTATATGGGTAAATTCCTTGTTTTTTATTATAGTATTGTTAAGTATATATATTAATAAAAACTAATTTGGCTAAAAAAAAATAGTTTAATATTATAAAAATATGATATTTATAATTAATAATTTATAATTTATAATTTAATATAAATGAAATATTTAGAGATAAATAACATTAAAAATCAATGAATTAAAGAAACAGTATATTATTATAATTAATAAAAATATCAAAAGAATGAGTTTAAGTTTTGTTATAATATATTAATTATTAAAATAAGTTGATAGAACTATACATATTTAATATTTCAATAAATAAATTACAATCAGTTGTTTAAGATTCAAAGAATGGTGCAATTATTTGTCCGACTCAATACAAATAAAATGCCAAAGAATTCGGGGAATGAATAAAAAATATCTTATGAAAACCATCCTCGTTTGTTAAGAGAATTTCCTAAGAATTATTTATAAGAAAAAATAGGGTTTGGCAAACTTGTAAAATTGATGGAGAAGAAACAAGACTATGTCCCCTTTCGTGTTCCTCAGGCAAAGACGACAAAAGACCTTGAGGGTATGTATTGGGATGCTTTTACTCCGGTGAATACGATATCCCACGTCCGTTCGAAGTCATTGAAATTTTCCCCCATCGACAGTTATACATTTGCTGTATGTAGTGAAATGTCGATTTTCTTGCATCGAGTTGCGGAAGATAAAACACGACAGATGTCGCGCCATAAGAGTGATATAACTGTATGTGAGTATCGAAGAGATGGTTTAGTCATCGCCACTGGCTGTGCAGGGGGTGCTGTCAAAGTATTTGATCTTTCAACGTACAACGTCATAAAAACGTTTATAGAGCACAAACAACCAGTGAACGCACTTTGTTGGGCCAATGGGAGTTTATATTCCGGGTCTTCTGACAAGACTATTAAGTGCTGGGATTTGACTTCTAAGCACTCCATTAAAACATATACCCACCACACAGACGCTGTTCGATGCTTAGCTGTCTGTCCGACAAACCCTAATTTAATTGCTTCGGGGTCGTACGACCACACCGTACAACTCTTCGACACAAAAGAAAACAAAGTGATACAAACCCTCGAGCATTCGTTCCCCGTCGAGTCGATAGCATTCCACCCGGTCGGTTCCATCTTAGCTGTTGCTAATGGAGAAAATATTAATATATGGGATATCGCAACACAGACACTTTTGTACGACTACGCCTGTCACACAAACGATATTAATACCGTCTTCTTCGACAGCGACGGGCAGAGACTCTTTTCTTCGTCTTTTGATGGTAACTTGAATGTCTACGAAACAACGAAATACACGAAATTGCATAATATCACTTACCCGGCCCCAGTCATCTCGTTCGCAATGAATAAAGACGAGACGATGTTTGTTGCAGCATTGAATACCGGCGAAGTCATTGTGAATCAGAAAAACGCCACGAAGAAGGTTGAGAATGCGCCGTCGTCTGCAAAGTACTTTTTCCAAGGGAAGTCCCTTGCACAAGTCAAACCTACGAAGGGCGGGAATTATTTTGCGAATCTCTTGAGACAAATCAAATACTCCGAAGCGCTGGATAAAGCACTTGAGACCCGCGACGAGACGATTATCATGACAATCATTCGAGAAATTATTTATAGAAATGGGATGAGAGTCGCGTTGATTAATCGCAATGAAAACACTTTACAACCATTGATGTCGTTTTTGATCAACTCGATTCCAAACCCTAATTACACCAAGATCATCATCGAAGTCATTTACCAGTTACTGGACATCTACATCTCAAAGCTTGGAAAGAGCGCACTCTTCGATGACATGTTCTTCAAGCTCCAGAAGAGATTGGAGAAGGAAATCCAACTCAACAGAAACATGCAGGAGCTCCTTGGGCAAATCGACTTGATCATCGGCGCTGCAGAGTGTTCAAGGAAAGATTGATTGAATTGTTCTTCTTGTTCTGTTGCTCACATATTCTCTGAACTTAACTAATAACAAATGACAAATTATGGATAGAAGCGTGGCAATGTTGTGTCTTGTGACCGAATCGTGTTTTTGAGTCGCGCGTGTTCCTCTTGTTCTTGTTTGAGATCATTTTGTGTGAGGTGGAACAATGGAATTTCTGGGGTGGGGTGACTCTTCAAATCGAGTATTTGTTTGTCGATTGTTTGTGGGAGAACCATCCCATTTTTCACTTTAAAACTTTGAGGAGTGTCGACAGGAGATATTGGAGGGTGTTCGGTAACACTACTGAAGTTGATAGTTTGCGCCTTTTCTAAATTCTTTTGTGTGACATTATTAAATAAAAACAGTCCTGTCCTCCCGTTTTTGTATGAAAACGTCTTTGTGATGGTGTCGATAATTTCTTGGCGCTTTCTGTTGTTGTTTAAAAGTGTGTTGAAGTTATGGACAAATAGGCGGAACACGATTTGTGGGAAGTGGAGAGACAACGACTTTTTATTGATGAACAAGGTCGACACGATTTTCGAGTCAATCATTGACGTGATTTTGAGTGTGAATGTTGATATTGGGCACAAAACAAGAACTGTTTTCGCAATGAGTTTTGGGGAATACCTTTCTGTGACATTCACAATAATTTGGATGTCATAACTCTCCTTTTGGGCTGTTTTAAAAGCCGCGGGGCATTCGCAAATGAAGTTTCCATCGGTCGTGTCAATAGATATAAACTTCCTTTGTTCTTCCATTTGAGTTGTTTGACTCTGTCTTGAAAATGTTTGAGTTTTGGATATTTGATTTAAAAATGTCACAAAATATTCTGTGAGCGGAATGTCTTGTGGATAATCGATTAATACAGTGTGAGTGAAATATGATTTCGTCTCATCCAACATTCGAATTTGTTGGAACAACTCTTCACAGACATTCAGACAAACATCATCGCTTGAAATTCCAATGATGTTACTGTGAATCAACTGAGCACCAAGTGTGGTTGAAAATGGGTCTATACCACTCGACTTGTTATTTCTATTATTTATAACAAATGTCAATAATTTTATCTCTTCTTCTTTTGTGGATGTTTCAGACTTATCACAACAAAACAATGGATTTGTCATTCTCAGTATTTGCATGTTTTTGTTTGGAGTAACAGTCACACTTCGATTAGTTTGTGTACTCTGTTGTGTATTCAAAGCGCACTTACACATATGACATCCGCATGAAGTTCGTTTGATTATATAAGTCTGAGTGTTTTGATTCTCCAAAGGAACGTCCACAAGGGAATACAAATCGTTGTTTTTCATAAACATGGAGATGTGTTCAATCGGGTTCTTCTGTTTTTCTAACAGTTTTTGCTCAATCAAAATACCGTCTTGGAAGAGTTCCCATGTCTTTGGCATTTCAAATTGTATGAAATGCTCCAACAACAGTTGGAATTCCAAAGACAGAGAAGGGAAAAGTGGACTAATTTTAGCAAGAATATCAAGTAAGAGTCCGATGTATCTGTTCTGTAACGTGTTGTCCAGAATCAAATATTCCATTATCACTCTTATAAGTAGATTGACGAGCACTTCTGGGATCTCTTTGACACTTTTCTGCCCTTCAAAATACGCAAATACAAAGAAGACAAGTTGTACCACTGCTTCCGTGAATGTCGGGCCGTTCTTCGGAATTGCTTTTGCCGTTGGCGCAATCGTCAAAAACACAGTGAAGATGGATTGGAGTTGTTGGAACTTGAAGTCGGACGATTTCTCGACAAAGAGTGTGACATCAAATAAGACGCCCCAAGCCAAGTGGAACACGCTTTCCGTGACATTGTCGTGATAATCCAATTTAATGTTCTCAATCTTTTTGACTTGAGGAATGAACGTGATAAACACTGATGTGAGTAAGTCGCACAGCAAATTGAAATTATGAGTGGAACACAGTTCTGTTTTGACCAATTTTCGTAACAGTGTACACAACAGTATTTCGTCATATTCGTCCACTTTGCCTTCATTCTGTAATAGCAAATATTTATTAAAATGAACTAAAGACGCGTTGAGCACTTTAATAAACGTGTTATATGTGGACGCGTTCAGTAATTGGGCCACTTCTTTATCACTTTCTGCGTACACAAAGAACTGCAAAATCGATGAATACAGCAGTGGAAGGATTTCAAGTAAATTGCTTATGGGGTGTTCCAACACATTTTCGATGGTGTCGATGCACATTTTGACTAATAACATCTCGTTCGATGATAACACCGTTCGAATCACATGAATGAGTAGCTGGAGGTACTTCTCTTCATATGTCGTTGTCTTCAGCGTCTCTCCAAAAAACGAACAAATGTTCCCAACGGATGTCACCATAGCGTCCAAATAGAATCGCGAGTCTAAATGGAAGATCGGCAACGTGCAATTATCTCCAAACAAATCTAAAATGACATTCCCATCGGGCGGGGGCAGTTTTTTGTCGATTTCTTCGTATGAGAGTAAGTCGTGCATAGCCATCGAGATCGCCTCTTGTATCAGAAATGCGTTATATGGTTCAATTATAGAATACTCAACGTTACTGAGTTCTACTAGTAAATACTCCTTCAAATGGTGTTATAAAGACAATTCAACGTCACATAGAAAAACAAAACTTATGAAACTCAGCCACATGTCTTGTGTCACACTTTCTTCCATATCGAAAAGAATGATTTTCCCGGTATTACACAAAAAGTTGATGTGCGGAGAAGCACTCGAAGGATTTAAAATGTGGTTCATATACGCTTCTTGAAGAGCTAACAGTGAAGCACCCCATTGGGAGACAAACTCACTCTCGTTGAACCACGTCGAAGCATTTTGAATGAAAATATTCCAATACATTGAAGCTGTTGATGCTCCTCGGAGTATACAATAGTGGAGCAAATTGATGAGTCTTTTCATCAAATGGATATAATCAATATACATCGGATTATCGCGTCGTTCTGATGCGTTTTCCCCTTTGTGGAAGAATTTGAAAAAAGACTCGAACATCCCAAAGACACATGTCGTGATCCAATCGTTCATTTCACTTCCTCTTTTCGTTACTATCAAATCAAAGAGTAGATTCACAACACTCGCACAACACTCCACATGCGTTTGAATCTCACTTTTCACGGTTTTGAACGTGGAAAAGGCTAGAGTCATTTGCCCCAATAGAACAGTTGCCGCTTCTTTGTAGTTGTTAGTGATATACCGCGGTCGGTTGAGTTCATTTTCATCGCGAAGCCATCGCCTAAGTATTATTAAATTGTATTAATAAACAAATTCTATATCTCGTTCTATACCAATTCAACACAAACCCATATAACGCAACAATTAACGATATCATTCCCGCCGTTTTATCCGATACAAATGTCTTTGATAGTGTTGAAACAATCCACATGAGTTGTTCTCTATCTTCAATGTTTGGTAAATTCTTCGACGTCGAAAGAGAGTGTAAAACCAATGAAATGATTTCTATTTGCCCATCTTCGTTTAGAAAAGACAACACCTCAGTGTTGCTCTCATTGTTTGCCAACCCAAGTTCGGTCACTGTACTGATAAAATTGATATGGACGGGACTTCCCATGTATTGGATAGTATTATTTCTATCCATTTGCTTCGTAGTTCTTGTTTAATATTTAATAGTTGTAATGGTTAATATAGCTTGTATTATTATTTTAATATATTCAACTATTTTATCCATTCAAACTAATAATTATATTAAAAAAACTAATAATTGTGGTTGTGATGTTGTCGTTGCTTGTTAATAGTTTTAAATGGTTCATTTTATGAAATTAAAATACTATATAATTAGTAGAATTAATACTATCTGATATACT